AGCACCCTAAAGGAGCCTGGAGGGTCAGCACTGAACTGATAGGATGAGTGCAAGCACCAAGGGTGGCAGGGGCCCCAGAAAAATGTGCTGTGGGTAGAGCCCTAGAAAGAAGGTCCCAAGGACTTGCCTACAGAGACCCCCGGAGCTGCCTTGAGTTCAAGCAACTCTCCATCCGTCTCCAGGTGAGCCGTCTCCACAGCTGCCAGGCGCCCGAGGCTGCTGGGCCACATTCCCAGACACATGCACCCACACTCAAAGCCCCCGTGGCTGGAGGACATGCCAGTGAAACTCTGTTCTTTGCCTTGGAAAGCGTGCAGCTTGCACAATCCTACGCTGTGCCTTTGCTCTGAAGGAAGGGACCACGGGTCAGACCATCCCGCCAGTTTGCCTGCAGCTCATCCTGTCCTTCGTGGGAGGGTCCCAACCTGCACTCGAGACGCCCACCTGCAGTGCAGGGGCTGATGTTCTGGGCTTTGTTTTGTTTTTAATGTGGGGTGAGGAGGAAGAATTACATCTAAACTACAAGGGCACTATGGAAGCCAGGGGAATGTTCCAGGGATTGCCTTAATTAAAAACAGGAAGCATTTTCAAGGATTTTTCAAGAAGCCTTTTCCGGATAAAAGCAGGGTTTTAAAAACACCACCCTGAGGAAGAGTTCCCCTCACGGACTAGTGGACCCCAGTTTGGGAAGTGACTCCCCTGCCCTTTTCTCCTCCAGAGCGTGGGTTTTGGACCCACATTGTAGACTTACAGATTCAGACCTGAGGAGCCCTGGCAGTGTCTGTTGCTGGGTGCCCGGAACCTGCCGGAGCTGTCTGCACAGAGCCCATCAGTCCCCATTACAGGTTAGTGGGTGACCATTGTCCTGGCTTCCCCTGGACTAAGGGGTTCCCCAGGGTGCCCAAACTGGCACAGTCCCAGGCAAACCAGGATGCATGGCCACCCTAACGTGACACTGAGACAGAAATGACTCCTTCATTCACTCCTGTCCACCCCACCCCCTGGGTCCCCCAATAGGACTCCATTAAGAACTCTGCGGTCTTAGTTCTTTGACTGTCTCAGCTCCAACGAACTTCCTGGGACTTCCTCCGCCAAATTACTGCTGGTGGGACCGCTGACCAAAGAAGAACATAAAGCTCAAGTCCTAATTTGATCAAACATTTAATTGCAATTTTATTACCAATTCAGTGGAGAAGGGCTACAGGGAAGGGGTGGCGAGCCTTTGGCGATGTGGTGGGATGTGAATGCTTTTTTTTTCTCATTCCCAAGGCCCCAGCTGTCTGTATAGTCTGGTAACATATTTCTTGAGAGTCTGGTCCCTGGCCAAAGGCCTTGATTTCCTTCCAAGTTGCTGCTGTAATTTATAGATTAACAACTCTTTCCTCTTGCGGGACATTGTTTGATGAGCTGTGTACAGTGCTCTGTGTTGTTTATCAGGGAAGACTAACAAAGCCTGGCATGTTTACCTTGCTTGAAGAACCGTGGCTGTGCAGAGACAAAGGCCCGCCTGACTCATCGCTGCTCCCACGCGGACTGCTCTCCTCCTGACCCTGTCCCCAAGCCCCCCGCCTACTTCTCTCGGGGAATAAACGCTGGGGATACTGTGTCCTTCCCAGCTGACTTTCCACTTTCATCTTTGTCGTTTAAAAAATCTGCACGGACGAGTGAAAACCAAGATTTCACCTCTCTGTCTGTTTTTGACGACACCGGCTTGACTCTCGGAGTCTCAGGCAGCAGAGCCACGGGAAGGCCACTGACAGTGCCTTCCACCCACCCGGGGCCTGCTCAGGCCTCTGAGCGTGCGCTGCCCTGAGCAGCCTGTTCTCAGGCAGATTCGGGTCCAGTCGGTCTGGAATGGGGCCTGACGTGCTGCATTTTTTTTTTCCAGGCGGAAATATATTTATTTAATTCTGTATTCATTATAGATATGTGTGGAAAGGAGCACTAGGCATGAATGAAGTAATGAAAAGTCACGCGGTAATGAGACTTAAGGTTAATCCGTTTTGTAGGTGGGCCTCTTCATTATTTCTGCCTCTATAGGTTCACAGGCTTTGGTGCAGCGATGCATTGCGGGTCGTGTGCAGTGTGCAATCCTAAAGTCTTTTTCACCACGTGGATTTTTACAGTGACCACTAAGCTGTATATGTGCATTCCACAGGTTAAAAACAGCACGAGTGATGCGCTTGGCTTTTGGCCGAAAGGACAGAACGGCTGGAATGAACACTCCAGGTAGGCAATGGCATGCTGCATTTCTAACCAATCCTCGGCGACGTCGATGCTGCTGGCCCAGGGGCCACATGTTGAGCACGGACAGAGTGGAGATGCCCAGCACTGAGGGGCCAGGATGAGGCTCACAATCAAAGTCTTCGTAAGACACCCTATCAGCGTTCTCTAGACCACGGACTCTACAACTCGAGAGCTTCTGTTTCTTCACCAGTTAATAGAGTTAATTAAATGTGGTTATGGTCATTAACTAAAAATTTAATCTCCACAACAGCCCTATTTAGGTATGGCTTAATACTTTTTAAGTTTCTCAACAACATTGTGTAGTTTTCAGCGAGGAGGTCTTACACAGCTTCTGTGAGATTTTTCCTGGTTTTTTATTTTAAAAATCATTAGATATGAACCGGTTTATATACATAAAGGACCCTGGATACTCACTACCCGTGAAAGTCTTGTGTTCATGACTTTCACTTACATTTTCTTAAAACATTATTTTAAAATTCAGCTGAGCAATGGCTTCCTGGTTTGGGGCTTATCACCATCCCTGAAACATGAATGTTTTGGGGACATTGGGAATCATTGAAAGAAAAGATAAAATTTCACAGTAATTCCCCACTATTGACAATTAGCTGCCTGAGGAATCAAAGTGCCCTGAGGGGGAAAAAGACAGAGCTATGGAAGAGATCACGTTTGTGGGAGATGAAGCTGGGGCCGGAAGGTTATGAACCTACCAATGGACAGACACAATGACCGCATCACCCTGGCCCTCCCTCTCAGCTTCTCAGATGCTTCTTAGCTACAAACATCCCTAGGTTTGCCTGCTCTCCAAACCTGGGAGCACTTTAGGATGTGAGGTGCAAACAGTTTATCAATGGTGAGGACTGCACATTCTTGTCTAAATGTAGGACTTTAGTACCACTTTGCTCAACGTCAATTTCTGCCGTGGAGCGGAGCTGCGAGTAATGGCTGCTGGTGACCAAGCAAAGGAAGACCAGCGGGGAGGCCAGGCTACGTGGCCAGCAGATGTGATGCCCATTCTCATTTACATTTCCTGTTCTGCCCACTCAGCAATAACATTAAACAAGAAAACAAACGCTGAGTTCTTCCCACCTCTGGTGAGTGTAGCACGGGAGGCACTTTTCCTGTTTGCAAAAAAGATTGATGCTTTGCATCGCTTCTCTCTCCATGTGAGAATTTGAACATAAATATGAAAACCAGGTCATTACCGTATCTTAACAATCCAGCTGTGTGGGCAGTTCTCAAATAACCAATAGGGTGTGTCTCAAAAATCTGTTTTTATGTCACTTGTCCGGCATATTCTTTCCTGCATGAGCACATTCACAGGAGATAAACTTAGTCATGAAGAAAGGGATGGGTACGGTAACACTGAATAAAAGGGGTCTTTTTTGGACATTCCATGTTATGTAACACTGAATAAAAGGGGTCTTTTTTGGACATTCCATGTTATTTTATATTAGTTTCAGGTGCACAGCATATATTAGACATTTATAGAACTTACGAAGTGATCCCGTCTGCCCAAGTCCCAATATGTCTAGTACCTACCTGGCACCATCCATACAGTACAAGAGGGTTTAAACTTAAAAAAATGAAACAGAGATGCATGTTTTCTATAAGCAGTAACTGCAGAAGAGGCAACTAGTTTTAAAATCTTAATATTTGTTGGATCTTCATAAGAGACTGCCTTGCAAACCCTTGCCTCTCCTATTCCATGGGAGAAGGCAGGAAAATGCCCCTTAAATGAGGCAGTCCCAAAGGGAGGCCTCTGAGCTGGGATTTCAATAGAATGAGAGCCACAGACCAGGATAACCAACCCCCTAACAGTTTTTTGAATTGTAAATAAGTGGCTGATGGAAGAAAGAGATCTGAGGAAGCAAATGCTCTGTCTCCTCAGATTACACCAGAGTCCCCCTCCCCTCCCAGGGACGGGGAAGAGGCACAGCTCAGAATGAGTGTCCAGTGTCCGGCCCTGGCTTAGGTCTCAGGGCCAGTGCTGTCCTTTCATGCCTCTTACCTTCAGGACTTCAGCCGCAGGTGAAAATGTGAGCCCTGTCCTTCCAGGCCCCAGGACAAGGTGACGGCCATGTGGGGTGCAGTGGGGGTCTTTGCAGGTGCAGGGCCCATGGTTTGCTGGGAGCACTGGTGCTTGAACCCAAGTGCTTCGTTTTCATCAGCTCATGGACAGCGTCGATTTTAGGTGCAACAGCTTTTCCCTCTGCTCTGAGTCTGCATCCACCGAGAAACGGGGAACCTCAGATATTCTAACCAAGACAAGGTGTAGCCCACCTGAAGAGTTGACATTCTGGCTTACACATTGAGTTTGGGTTCTGAGCACCATCTGCAGGAGCCTCACCAGCTCCCAGTTCTGGCATGTTCAGCAGACTCCCAGTCCAGAATACCCCCTGCTGCCCCTCCCTGACCCACAAGTGGCCAGACTAATCCAGAATACCCTCCCTGACCCATGAATGGCCAGTCCAACCCAGAATACCCTCCCTGACCCACAAACGGCCAGTCCAACCCAGAATACCCTCCCTGACCCACAAACGGCCAGTCCAACCCAGAATACCCTCCCTGACCCACGAGCGGCCAGTCCAATCCAGAATACCCCCCTGTAGCCCCTCCCTAACCCACGCGTGGCCAGTACAATCTAGAATACCCCGCTGGGCCCTCCTTGACCCAATCTTCAGTCTCTCCCTCAGAAGTCAACCTCTTTTTGATTCAATAGTGACCCATTTAAATAAAAGGCCTAACACAAAAAACTCAGGCAAATATGTTTAATTTTTTAAAATAACTGATGGCAAAATAAAATATTTACATCACATCATACTGTGTAAACATGTAAGGTCTCTGTACAAAGAAATATACATGCAAAATAATGTAAAAATTTAACTGAAATAATAGAAGAAACAATACACAAATAAAAGTTGTGAGGTTACGAATACACATCCAGTTCTGAATCCAATTTATTTTAAAAAGTTTCTGTACAATTTTACAAGAAACAAAACCCAAAAGAATAAATAAAATATATTGGAAGCTGCAAAGCTTAGCTACGCCACTTTATGGCTCAAGACCCAGGTGTCTGGCTGGCTCGGGAAGCGGGCTGGCCTCTGTTTTAGTGTATTTCACACAACAAAGATAAAAAGACATCCAGAAAAATTCAAGCGTGCCCAGAACCCCAGCGTCTATTGTGGAAGGCCTCCCCACACCAGCGCTAACTCTGCCCAGTGACAGGCAGGGGGCGCCAGCTCAAGGCTGCGAGTGCTTAATTGGCTTGTATTTCTTACCAAAAGCTCCAAGTCCAGCCAATTTGTGTACAGAAAGTTGAATGTCAAAAAGTCTAAAAAGTAGTAAATGTCCAGACTGATCTTGGGGAAAAAAATAATACTTTGGCATTCTGAATAATAGCATAATACATTTTAAAACATTACCCTATTATCCAGTTTTATATTCAGAGTATGAAATCACTTTTTACAGTCCTCAAAACTGACAAGTTTCACGAAGAGTCAAGTCTCCTGAACGGATGGCACAGGGCTGCGACCCCCCCAACCCCCCCGCCCCACCCGACACACGCACAAAACCATAAAGCTCACCGTACGAAGTATGTGCTTTTTCTATATATTTATTACAGGTACAACAGAGGTCTTCATAAATAGTTGCATAAAATGTTAAAGCCACAACATTGCACATGATATGAAATAAAACCAAAAAAACCCCAATGAGTGCATTTACAGTATTTTCATCTGACTGTATACTGCTCAACAATCTGATTGACGGCTTGGGGGCGGGGCAATGGGGTAGGGCCCAACCTGATGTCCTCAGTGGATGGGCAGAACCTTCTGGCCCCCAGAGGAAGCCCAGGCAGGAGTGGGAGAAAGGCGGAGGGGGGAGAGAGGGGGGAGGCGGATAAGGGCAGACTGAAGGCAGGACCAGTCTTATATACAAGTAAGGCCTACATTTCATCAGAGCAAAACAATTCATTCTATTTTTATGCAAAAGTTTGAGGTTGAATGCACATTTCAGAAGCCCAGTCTGGCGTCCCTGAGAGACGCACACAGACCAGGTGGCTGGGAAGCTCGGAGCCAGGTGGACGCCAAGCTCCGCAGCAGGTGCGGGGACGGCCGCCGCTGGGGTGCGTCTTCCCCAGAGGTGGCAGTGTCTCTGTTTTGTTCGTTAACACCAGTGGTTGAACATAGGCATTTCGTTTCCTTGAATAAGTCTTGTAAAATGTTAAATTTGCAAAATTCTATGTGTGTTCGTTTAAAAAAGTTTCTTTTTTTTATTTTTTGCAGGAACCTGAATAAAAGACTGTGACACAGCAATGCTGTCTCGGCTCTCAGAGCGAGAGAAGGTCCTCCACCCAGCAGGCTGGCAGCCGCCCGCACCCGAGCCAGCTCGCTCGGAGTGCGGGCTCCACACGGTGCACTACGGCAGCGGAGCAGTTATGTTGGCTCGTGTTTCTCTCCGAAATTCAAATTAACAGCTGATTGGCAGGTGAAAGAGAATGAGAAAGAACTTCAAGACAGGTCAAACCCGAGGCAGAAGCCTGCTCTGCAGGAAGTTTTTAACGCTACGGATAGGTCGAACGTCGTTCTGGTGTTTGCGCCGCTCAATGAAGGAGGTCAGTCTGGACGTGTCGAGGACGCCCGTGCCTTTGCCGTGGCCGTGGCCCGCCTGCAGCCACTGCTCCTGCAGGGCCAGCGCAGCCGAGGGACGCCTGGCGGGGTCCTCCTGCAGGAGGAAGCACACGAAGTCCTTGGCCTTCTGGCTCACTCCTTTAAAGTAGTCATCTGGGAAACTAAAGTCTAGTCGGCAAATGTTCAGGCAGGTCTCTTCCACGCTGTCGTCCAGGAAGGGAGACACGCCGCTGAGAAGGACGTAGGTGAGCACTCCAACACTCCACGTGTCCGAGGTCAGGGAGACCGGGTTCCCCAGGATGATTTCGGGGGCTGCGAACTCGGGGTTCCCCAGTAACTGGTGGATGTAGTAGGTGGTATTGAGTTGGACAGCATCTCCAAAGTCGGCCAGTTTAATCGTCGGCGTGGCTGAACTCTGACCCACCAGGATGTTTTCGGGCTAGAAGATAGGATAAGGCAACCATCATTTTCCCAACACCAATCGTTAGCTGAGGCATGATGCTCACCAGGACCTGTGACGTCGACCGGAACAAGCTGTTCACGTGCAAAACAAGGAGGAACTCTTGGCAGGCGCTGAGGGAGGAAAGGGCAGCAACACGGGAGACCCGCCCGATGCGGCTTGGACCAGCCTCCCTGGAGGTCGGTGTGAGGCAGCGCGTTCAATATGCCGGTGTAGGAAGCTGGGTGTTCCTTTCCCCTCCCAGCATGAAGCAATCCTCTCCCTTCCTTACTCCGTCACTGAACCAGCCCAGCAAAACGGCCAGACTTTCCAAAATCCCACGAAACGTGTAAGAGCTCAGATCACCGAAAGCAAACTCTTAAACACAGAGTGGAAATCAGTGTCCCCAGTCCCCCTGGGGCACCTGGCCTGGCTTCAGAGGACCAGCGGAGAGGCTCCCATACGCTTGGCCGAGCCGCGGTCACACTCGCTGCCGTCCCGAGAGCCCCACTCACCTTGAGGTCCAGGTGTGCGATCCTGCAGTTGTGAAGGTATCGGACGGCCTCCAGCACCTCCCCCAGGTACGCCCTGATCTTCCCTTCGGTGAGGTTTCCCCATCGCACCACGCAGTCCAGGAGTCGCCCCTGGTCAGCCCTGCGGACGCAGGAAGGGGTGTGACCATCAGCATGGGGCTGCTGTACTTTGGAGACCTTTCTGGTCTAATACGAAACAAACACAGCATCTGTCCCCTCTGTCAATGTGCTGTCGGTGTTTCAGATTCTACCTCCACCCGAAAGCACGGCTGGATCAGGAGGTGATTTCGTGTTAACGTCACTGTGGAGATGCATGTGGGGGACAGGGCAGCTCCACCCTTGGAGGGAACTGGGAGGCTCCTGCCCAGTGGTCTCCACTCAGACCCTGCCTCCTGGATGTGAGGAAACAACGTGGGCCTCTGCTGAACGAGGGAATGAGGTGCGTCCTCCCCAAGCCTTAGTTTTGTCATCTGTAAAATGGGTGATGGGAAGGCTCTACAGATGATGTAAGCAGGTACTAAGGCAATATAGTAAGTGCTGCAGGATGGTCTCAAAAGTCTTCCTACTGTGAATTTACTTTTAAAAATTACAAAACACATATACAAAAACAAAAAACAATAAAACATTTATACAGTGCTGCTCATGTGCAGGGGACTATATACCTTCTACCAATTCATTTAATCCTCTGAGAAGAGTGTTTTATTGTCCCCATTTTATGGATGAGGAAACTGAGGCACAGGAAGGTATGTAACTTCCCAAGGCCACACAGCTCATAAGTGAAGGCGGGAATTGCGATGTGGTGGTCTGGCCCCGGCCTTTCTGAACATCGGTTTACGGTGCCCACTCTGTTTGCAAAACAGAAACTTATAGGAAGATCAATACTTGTCTGGTAATGGCGAGTAATCACGGAGAATTTGTTAGTAATTTGTTATGAAAATAAGTCCTATTAACCCTATGGTGAGGCCCAAATGTTTTGTTTCCCAGTGAAAAGAAATGACGGCTGAATGCACTGAAACTCCTAAACCCAAAGTGGAGGGCTGGCCGATTTCTGATGAGGACCGACGGGCGGTTCTTGTGGAAAAGCCCAGGAAGACAGGCAGTTCTGAGTCTTCAGCGTCTAGAGCTAGAAAGGACCCAGTCAGGCGCCCAAAGGGGCCAGGGCTCTGCTTAGACATTGTTTAGCCTTAGTGACCGTCTGAAGTAGCTGGGATTTAAAGGATGCCCAGGCCCCACGTGATGGACATGCCCTTTGCACGTGATGACGGCCTGGGGGGGGGGGGGCGGGGGGAGGGGGGGCTGCCCTCCTCCCTCCGCCATCTGACAGGTTTGCTGCCCCTGAGCGCGGCTGAGCAGGCCCATGACGGGCCGGCCGGCGGCGGTTTCAGCAGTGCAGCCCTGGGCAGGGAGACCCTCCGGAAGCGCCCCCTCCCCAGGCCGGTGCCGCTCAGTCCTGCGGCAGCCTTGCCTCTGACGGCTGTGGGGTGGAGGCACGTACCAATTCTTCAAAAAATAGGAATATGAGAAACAGAAACGAATGCCCCATAAAAAGGAGGAATCGGAACTTAAACAAGGCTGAATGCTGCGATGTTTCACAGAGCCCAGGATGCTCTGGGGCAGGGCTTCCCGATGCCGGTATTGCTGACAGTTGGGGTGTCCTGTCACCCCCATCCTGAGTTGTGACACCGAGAAAGTCTCCAGACACCACCCAATGTCCCCTGAGGGACAAAACTGCCCGTGGAGGGCCCCTGTGCTCGGGTCACACGCCTCCTTTGAAACGACTGAACCATTTACTGAGATGCCCGTGGGGGACCAGCGGGGCTGCTCTGGTGGGAGGCCTCCCCTCCAGGGGTGACCTTGCGGTGAGGAGCCCGTCTCACCCTGACTTCTCATTGGCCCTCAGTGGGGATGGGCAGGAGCTGAGGGGCATGACTGGTCCCGGGCTGAGCTTAATGCCTGAACCTTCAGACAGAGCAGGTGGCGAGCCCCTCCCAGGGCGTGTGTCGTCAGAGGCCTGGAGTCCTGGAGTCCTTTGGGGACCAGGGAGCACCCCAGGTTGGCTGAGACCACGCAGGAGCCTGGACGGGGCTGGCTTGCCACTTCCTGTGGGACCGGTCATACGCATACGAAAGTGGTCTTTCCACGTTTACTGGAAGGCTCTAAAACTGTGGTCTGAGAGCAGGCATGTTTTTTAGAAGTTCTGTGAATGCTGAAATCCCAATTTTTACTCGAAATAGCACTTGAAGTTGAGGTGGAGGGCAACAGAGAGAGAGAGCCCGGGGTACGCACATTTCCAAAACCAGGACGTAGCTGGTGGGGGTCTCGAAGGTGTCGAGGAGGCCGACGAGGAGCGGGTGCTGGACGTTCCGCAGGACGCCAAGCTCGTGGGTGACCTGGTCGCGCTTCATCAGCTTCTTGTTCACAAATTTGGTGGCCACTGTTTGCTTGGTTCCCTTCTGATCACATTTCTTAACGACAGAGAATCTGCCCCTGGAAAACAGTTGGAGAAGAGCTTTCAGGATGCCGAGCCAGCCCTGGAGAGAAGGCGGGATGCGGCGGCCTCCCACGCCCGTGCCCGCGCCGGAGCCCCTCGCTGCTGACACCTTCTCCTGGGTTGGCAGGAGTCCCCTGCTACCCGCCTACGGCTCCATGTATAGCTGGAACCCGAGGGACACATTCAGCCTTTCTCAACCTGGACTCCATGGGAGAACCAAGTCCTACAAGAAATGGTATGGATGACGCCTCCCAGATTTCCCCACGCATGGGACACGGCTGGTGGTCCCCGAGGTGCAGGGCAGGAGTCACCCACTGCATCCATGGGAGGCTTACGGCAGTGGGCCGTCATTCTCTCTGGAACCTGAGCTGAAAACATCTTGTTACTTCCAACGTTTAGTACTGAACGATGAACACAGGTTGCTTTGCAAATGTAACACCTCTAACTCCCAACCGGCTCACACACCGTTTACCTTCACTGTCTACTGCCAGTGAGCTGCGTCCTACCCGCTGCTCTCCCGAAAGGGGCTCGGGTCGTACCTGCCCAGCTCGGCCACTTCGCTGTAGAAGGAGTCGAAGTTGTCCTTCCAGGTCACCAGGATCCCGTCGCTCCCTGGACCTGCAAGAGGAGCAGCACCTGCCTGAGCCTGGTTTGTGGGGCGGGCGCGTCTGGGGAGGAAGCCTGCAGACCTGCGTTGCCCCACGCGCAGGCACACCTGGCTGCCCAGTGTGGGCGCTCACCGCCAGGAAGGGGCGCTGGGCTCAGCATGAAGAAAGACGGACTATGCGACAGAGATAAACACACACTTCCTCCTCCGTGACTGCCCGCTCCCCCTTCGTCTGAACTCTCTCTTAATTCCCTTAGTTTTCCCTCCTGACTCTTATTTTTAAAAAAGCCACCTGCATAATTTGTGACATTTCTTAAAAATGAGAATGTCGGGGGTTCTTTACTCTCAAATTCAAGGCTTCCTTTTTTGTGCCATGATCCCCAAATCATGTTACTTCCTTTCTTTGACTTAATGAGGTTAAAATATTTAGCATTAATATATGTGGGATAAAAATTCTAAGACAATTCTGTTTATTGTCTACACACAGGGAGCTCTGGACTCAATGCACCTTTCAGTTCAGATTTTTATTTTCGCTCTTGGATGTGACTTCCAATACCTGGTGCAGCTACAGGATCAGCGAGAACCCACATTAGCCCTATCACACATTGGCCACGGGCAACATGACAGCTGGAGGCCAATCAATACTCACTGAGCATCTCCATATGCCAAGTGCTTGTACGGGCAATCTGAAAGGCTTATGATATGGGTTCTGCCTCACAGCTTAGGGGAGGAGTGGGAAAGGGCCTTGCCAGGCAGTAGAGAGAGCAAGGGCTTAGACCAGAGACTCGGGTTCCACCAAGGGTGCCTGGAGCACGTAGAGGGGACAGGAGGACACGCCCACTAGAAGGCCTGTGAGGTCTGAGGCAGGCACACAGCCTACACAGGGCCAACCACCTTCCCTCCTTTCCTTACTTCCTTCTCACTCACATCCATGCGACCAAGTTAGATTAGACTCTTAGAGCCAAAGCGTCAACTGAGTGATTGGATTAAAGAGAAACTGGGCCCCTAGCCAGTTTGGCTCAGTGGATAGAGCGTCGGCCTGTGGACTGAAGGGTCCCGGATTCGATTCCAGTCAAGGGCACATGCCTCAGTTGCAGGTTCCTCTCCAACCTGGGCCCTGGTCCGAGCGCGTGCAGGAGGTAACCAATCCATGTGTTTCTCTCACATTGATATTTCTCTCTGTCTTTCCCTCTCTCATCCACTCTCTAAAAATCAATGGAAAAATATCCTCGGGTGAGGGTTAAAAAAAAATAAGAGAGAGAGAGAGAGAGAGAGAGAGAGAGAGAGAGAGAAACTGGTACAAGAATGTGTTTTGAAAACTTGAGCACAGAACACACCTAGTTCCAGTTGAGAGGTTGGCTCCAGTACCCAGTGGCCAGAGTCAGAGGCCTGACCTTGTGAGCGGTGCCTAGAGGTCAACCACCCCAGGAAGCGCCAGAGCCCGGGTCTGTCACTCGCAGCTCCTGTTAAGACCTATTTTCATGTTTCCAGCCGTGACGGGGGTGGGGGCGCTGGGCTTGAGCCTCCAGTGCAGGGGTGCAGCTCACCTAGAACCCTCAGGCTGGCCGAGCAGGAGGCCGATCCCATGTCGTTCACAGCGATGCACGTGTAGATGCCGTCGTCATCGGTGGTCACGCCCACGATCTTCAGAGAGGCCTCTCCCAAGTCACTGCCGCACAGAGAACACACCTCGCGTCAGAGAGGCCCAGCCCCGCTGGCAGCCTCCACCTCTCTCCTTCGGGGTCCAGAAAAGAAGGAGCTCAAGGGCTGATGAGGAATCTCAGCGGAGGTTTAATTTTAGTTGCACACCCAGGTACGGAATGTCCCCTCGGGGGAAGCGTCCCAGTGTGAAGGCGACCATGGGCTCAGCGATGTCAGTCCCAGGGGAACCTGCCTGTGAAAGCGAGCACATGCGAGCTGCCCTCACCTGTAGGAGATGCTGTAGTGGCCGTCGTTGTTCAAGGTGTTGTGCTCAGGGCCCTTCCAGGTGATCGAGGCCTTTGGGCGTCCACAAACGCGACATCTGAGAACCACGGTCTCCCCTGCCTCACACGTGACCTCACTCAAGGGAATGACGAATTCTGGGGGAACTGCAGGAGAAAGGAGTCAGTACCGCCGGTCCTCTGGGCCCCCTCCCTCGCCCACCAACACTTTCCTACAGACAAATGGGACTCAGTTGCTGCCTGAGCCCAGCGCTCCTTGGAAAACCCGTCTCCCTAGGCTACACGTCTGTGTCCTGAGACCTGTCCCCAGACCCGCAGCCTGTAAGACCGGCAGAAACGGTAATGGCACTCACCGTCATAAATGTAGTTGGGACTGAGAAGCTGAAAGGAAAAAGCACACAGGCATTAACCAAACACGGCCGACTGCGAGGTGTATCGCTTTCCCTCCAAGGCTACCCTAACCCATGAAAGAGGAGAGAACACGTCTGGGTTCGCCTGGGTTTCATTCACAATCGGCCACATGTTCACTCCTTTCAATGCACTTGAGCTTCCTGTCATAAGAATTTGGGTGGATTTGAAGCACAAAAGCACTGCTTAAACGTGGAGATGTCTGTCTTCCCCATCCTACAAGCTGAGTCCAGCTGTCCCTGGACCTTTTCCTTCTGCAGAATGGCCGTGTCCTCACCCAGCGTCCCCAGATTCCCAGGCAAACCCCCGGGTTAAGGCAATCTGATTATCAAGAGCAAAGCTGACTGGAGCCTGGAAATTTCTAGAGCCATGACCTGTACCTCGGCATCTGGTCACTCCCCGTGGCCTGAGGAGGCCCGAGCCACAGTGGCTTTGCTCTATCCGCTTCTGAGAATCTCATCTCCGCTCCTTCCAGGAACCTAATAGCGTTCTTTGTCAAAGGCAGGCGTGCACCTGGGAGTGTCCACGTGTCTACCTGGCTCCTTAGAACACATCACATGCCTGTGCCAGCCAGCAAAGCCCCCGAGAGCCTCTGCAAAGCCCACAGGGTCTGCTGGCGGGGCTGAGAGAGGTGGCGTGTGGTTGGCACGTGGCTGCCAAGCAAGTCCCCGGGCCTGCGCCAGCCCCTCCTGCCACCGGGGACGACACAGGTCCTGACACTGGTTCATGGGACACTCGGTCTCACCTTCACAGATACCTTGTTGCCAAGTCCTTCCCGTGACTTCCGATAACCGTTCTCTAACTTGCCTTCCCGTTTGCCGTCTTTATCTTTTTTCTCAGATTTTTTTCTTAAACGGAGTGCTGTGTGCCAAGATGTTGACTTCCTAGGGGAGAGAGCACACTGTTTAGTGCTCTGCCTTCCCAGTGTTCGGCGAGGATCCGGGAAGCGCTGGAGAAAAGCTGACTGCTCAACGCGTGCAGATACCAGGCGGCGGCGAAGGCCAAGGGCACGCTCCTATGATTCTCAACAACCGAGATATAAAACCACCACTTTCTTAAGTCAAACAGGAAGGACTGACATACAAAGGTGCCTGGGACGGTAGCTTTATGCATCAACTGGACTGGGCCCTGGGTGCTCTGCAGTTTGGCCAATTATCCTGGGTGTTTCTGCATGAGGTTAACTTTTTAACTGGTAAAGCTGGTAACTCTTCATGCAGTGGTGGGCCTCATCCCCTCAGTTTAAGGTACGAATAGGACGAAAAGGTCGTCTGCTTTGAGCAAGAGGGAACATTCTCCAGCAGAACGCCTTCAGATCTCATCTGCACCACAGGCTCCCTGGGCCTCCAGCCGCTGGCCCCACTGCAGATTTGGACTGGCCGGCCTCCATAATTGCACGAGCCAAATCCTTATACTAACCACCCTCCCCCCCGCCCCTCTCTCTCTACACACACACACACACACACACACACACACTCTCTCTCTCTCTCTCTGTATATATATTCTATTTCTCTGGAAAACCCTAAAACAGTGCCAAGGATATTTTTGGAAGAAACAAAGTATGAAATTGGAATTCTTGAGCAATGTACTAGAATTAAATATTTCTGTGTATCAAGGAGAAACAGGACAAGAGATTGTCATGGGAGACAGGCTTTCTGCAGCCTGAACTCAAGCCCGGCCTCCCTGGGGGGTGGGAGGGGCAAGCGCCGAGCCCAGCGGCGCAGCCTGTGCTGCTGACCCAGCCAAGGGCACAGCCGAGCGGGGACGGGGCCATGACCACCGTCGGCGCCTTTGGGGCTGGGTTTCTGGGCTGAAGCCTTTGGAGACCTCAAATGTCCCCAAGTCCTGCCATGCATCCCAGAGGCCAGGCCAGCCCCAGCCACAGCCGGAGGGGTTCAGGAGAGGGAATTTTTGAATCCAGCACCTGACTTTAGGTTTTTGTTTTTTAAAAAATAATATTTAATGCAGTAAAATTGTTTTCTAGTTTCCTAACTGATTTAGCCTTTCTGTATATGTAAAGGCAAGGTACCGTCCATCTTCACCCGCAGCTTCCAGAATGAGTATCCTCACTGACGTACGCCAATGAGTCAGCGGTCCTTGGAAAGTCCCCTTCCCCAGACATCCCGGGACTGAAATAATATCAAGGTCTGTCTAGTGCAGGGATGGCGAACCTTTTGAGCTCGGCGTGTCAGCATTTTGAAAAACCCTAACTTAACTCTGGTGCCGTGTCACATATAGCAATTTTTTGATATTTGCAACCATAGTAAAACAAAGATGTATATTTTTGATATTTATTTTATATATTTAAATGCCATTTAACAAAGAAAAATCAACCCAAAAAATGAGTTCGCGTGTCACCTCTGACACGCGTGTCATAGGTTCGCCATCACTGGTCTAGTGGCTTGAAAAAGCCATGCGTGTACAAGTGCAGGTCGTGAGAACCTGGGGAACGAGTCTGAGAGACAGAAAGCCATCTTCACTCGGGCCCACCCTGCTGGCGAGGAGCTGGAGCGGACAGAGAAGAGCTGCTCCCTCAGTGGCTTCGCCCCCGGGACCCTCCCCCGCTGCCCCCGCACTCACTTGAGGGTCCCGTCGGGGCTCTCCATGATGACTGCGCTGGTGTGCCCCAGGACGAAGCCCGGAATCCAGCCCTCGGCGGCGGGGCACTGGTCCGTGGCGGCGCGGAACACCAGAAACATGTTCTGCTGGTTGCTGGCCAGAATCTGAACGACCTCTCCTTGATAGACGTTGATCTCATCCTCCTTCACTGCCGTGTAATCGTGTGTCACCAACATGGTGGAGATGTTGCTACTGCTGCTACTTTCACTCTGGAGGGGCGGAGACGGAGAGAGAAAGGCAGAGGGACCTGAAACGAGGCCCACCCACAAATGCACGTGTCAGTGTGCGTCGCGACAGGACCACTCGGAGCTCGCTCACCAGAGTCTCTCTAGAAAGCAACTTAGAAACAATCCGGAAAATATACCAGTGACGTGACGACACTTTACACTGGGAAGCTTTTATTCCAGTGCCACGATTTCAGCCCCACCTCCTGGCGCCTTTGGAGCGCGGCTCAGGTCTCGTGTTCATGCCATGTGGGGTTGTACCCACGTCACAGCAATGCCACTGCGACTACCACGCTCCTTTAAACAGTGTTATTACATGGAAGAGCTGCCAGCAGTAGCCCTTTCGCTCATTGAAGGATTGGAGGGTGGAGGAGCCCCCAAATCCGCCAGGAGAAAGTTCATGAGAACGCACATTCCAGGGTCCGGCCACGTCGCTGGCAGACCCGTCACTCCCACCTTTTCCCTTCCAGAATGCAGAACACCTAAAAGTAAATCGACTGCTACTCTGCTCTGAGGGAGACTGCTCCGCCTTCTTTGCGTGTCCCGTGGTGGGTGGCCCGCAGTGTCCAGCAGTGACCGACATGCAGCTGGCACTCAATACGTGTTCAGCCACGCAGTCAGCGAGGCAAGATTGCAAACGCAAAACAAGGATCATTGCTTAAGCCCACCTACGGGGCCCACAAGCTGAGTGGTATTGGCTGGCAAGGGGAAGCAACACAAAAGGCGGTATTTGTCCCAACCTGTCAAATGTTTACCGAGCGACCTTTGGTTCCGGGGGAGGAGGAAGAGGAAGCTGAGACCACTGCCGAATCCTGAGCTACATCCTGGCCAATCCCTTCTATTGAGTCGGGACATGGGGGATGGCGTCCAGTGCCCTGCTCCCATGAGCCTGTTCTCAGAGGTGGGCCTCATCCAATCAGTTGAAGGCACCAGCGGTGTGGCCTAGATGCGTGGATCCCAGGGCCTCTGATGATGCTAGCCTCTGCCTGGCCCCCGGACGCCCGGGACAGGTCCTGGGTCGGGGTGGATGTGACTGTGAGACAACCCTGCCACGTGCCGGTCACCCCGGCTACTGGGCTGCTGTCAGGACGGCTGGGGCAGGCGGCGGACTGCTGTCAACAAGCCAGCGCGCTGGGAACCGGCTCTGAATCCAGACCCGCAGGGATGTTTAAAGGAAACACAGGGGAGGGCCGCGCTGCCCTTCGTCTCACCGGGGAGACTGCTGCGTTCCCGCCCGCGGAAGCCCGTGCGGTCGTCGGTGAGCGCTGGCCTGTGCATAGTCATTTATGCAGTTTTATCCTTTCAGTGAGCATTTTAGTGTTCTGGCTTTTAGAGCAACAGCCAGTAGTTTTGCGATTACAAGGCCACGTTTGCTAGAAAAAGAGCAACCTCAGTGGCACAGCCGCTTTGGGTGACATCGCATGCCCGGCTTTGTCTCATCGTTGGAGTGTTTTTCCACAATCATGATAGCTATTGGTGGTTTCTGAACACGTCCTATGTACCAGGGTAAGTACAGGCCTCTACAATCCACCCGAATGCTCACCACCACCGTGCCAGTGGGCAGGACCGTCCCCCCTGATGGCGTGGGAGGCGAGGGGTTCGCCCTGGACACCTGGCCCCTGAGAGGAAGGCAGGGCTGCCGTTACTGCCGCCCAGGTGGATGTGTGCAGGGAGGTTGTGCATCACACTTGGGGGCTGCACAGTTTGGCCGATCCACATCCACTCCACTCTTGTTCTCTGTGGAACTTTCTAGAGGTGCCCATATAAAGGAGGAAGAAGAACCTGGGACGTGGGTCAGGCACAGCTGCCTGCCTGTCTGTGACCGCAGACAGTTCCCCGGAAGCCGTCAAGAGGAAGGAGGCCACTGCCGACGGCCGGGGGTAAGGTGGCCCAAGCGGGTGGGCACGGGGCAGGGCGGCGGTAACTTTTAACTGAAATACTCGAGTCTAGAGGCCAAACCCCCACCTGAGCCTCTAGCGGTCTCCCCAGGCCTCTAGGCATTTCTGTAAGGACTCAGCAACTCACCCACAACACTGGCAAGTTCCCCATTGCCTGCCACATAAGAAAAAGTGACCGACAGAAGTAAGAGGCAACTTTTGCAACCTACGACTTGCTGGATTATGTGCCACACGTGGCTGTGCCTCTGCCTCAGAGGGAACATCCTGGGAGGCAGCCAGGGGGTGGCCGTTACGGGTGGGCACCTGCGCTGGAGCGCCTGGGTGCTCATTCTGAAGCACAGACTCTGAGAACTCCTGGGTGCTCAGGGGATGAGCCTACGTGATGCTCCCTGGCTCATTTCGTAGGGGTCGCAGCTGCGAGCGAGGCCTGCATCAGAGTGTCCAACAGGTGCGTCGCTGGGCCCCCTGCGTCTCCTCCTGTGGCTGAAATCGGGTTCTGACCCTCACTGCTCACCGAGCACTGCAGACCCACCACCGGGCCAAGCCGCCCTGCAGCTCGTGGAACGGCACCGGAACATGGATACTGGTGATGGCCATGCAGAGGGTGCCTGCCCGGCCACGCGAGTTTGAGAATAAGACTCAGGGTAAATACATGTACCAAGACCCACTTCCTAATTCCTTCCTCAATTAAATATGGAGTTTAACAAGGTACATAACAAAAAAGAGGAGGACAGGATAAGGCCACGCCAACCCAAACAAGGAATTAATAGAAGTCCAGAGGAGAGACATGCATAAGCCAGATGTTTATATATACACATATATATATAAAGAGAGACACACACCCTTTTAGGGAAATGTATTTAAAAATGTATAAAGCAATCAAACATACACCCATTAGAACAGTTGTATTCCCTCACGCATGCCTTCAGGAAGGTGTTACGGGCCAGGCCATCTACCGTGTAGGAAACAGTTGGGGAGGAGAGTGAGGAGGCCACAAAATGGGGGGAAAATCCACCATGGCAACCTTTCTGCTTGAGATTACAACATAGGTGACAGGCAAAATGCGGGTGAGGATTCCTGGGGCGCCGCAGCCCGCACTGCGCCCCCTGCTGGACAGATGCAGACACGCTCCCACTCCAGCCTCCGCCTCTGCTCCCAGCGCTGGCAGGAGCCCTAAAGCAGTCTCTCTCTTCCAGAGTGAAACTGTGGAGGGAGCAAAACTTCCACTGCAGAGATTCCTTCCCCCCATTTTGTCAGCTTAGTTTGCTCTGAGTAGCTGTTGGAAGTTTTCTTGAGGTTTTTTTTTTCAGGTTTTATTATTTTTTCCCCCAGCAGATGAGTCAAAAATGCTGTAAAGATAATTTAAGGCATAAAAGAGCACAACCAAGCGATGAGCAAAAAGCGTATAAAGTGTAGGTTTCAAATTAAATAGGAGGCAGGCAGCAGGGACACTGACCCTCTAAAAAATGAGTGAGGAAGGCGGGACACAAAGGAAGTTCCAAGAGTCTGCTGGCTGGAAAACGGAAAAGACGTACAGACGCCGCGTTCAGAGGTTAATGACGGGTTTTCCCACATTAAGGAAACACAAACAAAGCAGAGAGCGAGTTAGTAGAGATGAGAGCAGCGCTGTCCCCGGAGCAGGGGGGTTAGGAGGCGTTTGTGTGGGCTCGGCTGTGGCCCGTCCTGCAGACGGCGGACACGCACGCGGAGCTACACGTGTCTACGTGGTCAGGGCACAGAGAGGACCGGAGGAGTTGATGACTGCAGGCGGCACGGAGAGCCAGGAGTTAGTACGGAGAGCGCAGCGCCGGAGGTTTAGAAGAGCTGGCGGGACAGAGGCAGTGGGGCGGGCGGGCGGAGGCTGCCAGGCGTTCTTACCCCATTGCTCTGGGTGGACTGCACGGACTGCTCGCTGGCCGAGGAGCACGTGCTCATGCGGTCCGTGTCTTTGCCGGGGGCCGAGTGGCGGTGCGCCTGCCGCTGGAGGGAGTCACTGTCCCCCGGGAAGGTGAAGGAGCCCGGCCGGCTGGCGGGGGAGGCGGGGATGGAGCTCCAGAAGGAGCCCCCCTTCTGCAGGGGGCTGCTGGGCGGGAAGGGCTCCTTGCCCAGTGGAGAAGGGAACACGGTGGCGAGAGGAGAGTTCAGCGGCGAGATGGCCCCGGGCCGGGGCTTTCCCAGGGGCAGGGAGCCCAGGCTGCTCCGCGAGCGGCCGTCCTCCGGGTGGGCCCGCGCCTCCTTGGCCTCCTTGGCATTTCCGTCCTGGCTGGCCCCTGCAGCGCTCCCGGCCGACTTCCTGGGGCTCTCGATCACCTTCATCTTGGGGATCTGCTCCGCTTCTCTCTCAGGACCTTCAGACGGGCCGCTGGGGGGGAGCCTGCCGGGCTGGCTGGGGCCGGCCTCCAGGCTGAGGCTGCTGCTGGGAGGAGGCAGTGAAGGGCCGGGAGTGGACATACCTGACATCTTGTCTGCCTCTGCCTGGCTGGAGGCTGCAGAGGAGACCAGCACGGGGGAGTGGTGTCGGACGGGCTGGGGGATC